ACAAACACCGTTGTAAGGTTGGAGAACCTGGTTTTCCTGTAGCTGCGGTAGAAAGAGGAAAACGAGTTGTAATTAGTGAAACTAGTACATTCATGGTTGGTGATCATAACTACACCAAAGTGGAAATAGTGCCAAGTGTAACTATGATTTGTGATATACCTGAGTCGATCAGTGATGACTTTTATAATGGAAATGTTTATATTGGCTTGAAAAATCCAATTTTTTAGCCTTCCTCACCTATTCGTCATGCAACAGAGTTGTATCATATTCTTTTGAATGAATCTTTCAGAAACAAGCCAGTATTATGTCTTTATACTGATGGTGGTCCTGACCATCATTGTACATTTACGCGTGTTCAGCTTTCATATATCTGTTTATTTTTAGCTTTAGATCTCGACTATTTTGTAGCCATTAGAACTTCTCCACAGCATTCTTGAAAGAATCCTGTTGAACGTATAATGTCCATTTTAAATTTAGGATTATAGTGCGTAGGCCTAATGCGAAGTAAAATGGATGATCAATTAGAAATGTTAATGAACAAAGCCAATACAATAAATGAAATTCGACAAATAGCTGAAAAAAATCCTGCTCTGAAAACTGGTTTGAGTGAAAGCTTACAACAGCCAATTCGATTGATTCGTGATATTTTTGAACGCCAAAGTTTAAAGAAAGTACCATTTGAAACGTATGATGCAGCAATTAATAATGATATAGAAAGTTTCTGGGAAAATATTCATACTATAGATGATAGCGTAATACACGAAGATTGTACAATAGAACATATTAAGCAAAAGGTAATAAAGTTAATATAATAGTGCTCATTAAAATCATAACAAATTAATAGCATTTATCGTTATTTACCTTTTCATAAGTTAAATTTAAAAAATTTTATGAACCACTGTTGTACTATACGACACTACTTCTTCATGATAAAAAAGTGTGGCAAAGCAGACTGCCTTATTTGTTGTCCCTGTCATTGTACGGTTGAAGAATTCGAACTTCTTAAACAGCTTCCAGATCCAATTCCTGGTGAGGATTTGTATTATAAATCATTTGATGAGTTGTATAGCATGCCAACAACAGAGGAACACAGACCTTCCTTAAAGAATTCGAAACTAATAAAATTAAAAACTGGCAAATTAAAGATGGCAAAATTAAAACACACAATGCCATTCTGTCTATCAGCAGCTCATGCAAAAAATGTTGGCATCACTGTATCTTGTGTTGAATGTAAAAAACCACGTTTACTATTTAGTATGAAAAAGCTTGCAAATAAGGATAAAGAAATACTTAAAAGTTTCCTAGATGCAATCTTATATACATGCAGGACTTTCTTTCATAATACATGCGATCTGACACTAGCTGACACAGCAGAACAACCTGATATACAGGTTTTTAGCTTAGATATTGCCAACAGTTCTGAAAATGTCGCCAATTCTAATGATACAGATGAAGATTATATTACAATAGAGCCTGATGACCAGAATCATGACGATAGTGATGATGAGCAGAAATTATGTAAATTAACTGAACCTGATTATAGTAGCGAGGATGAAGAGATTAGTGCGGAAGATCCAATTAGAATGCTTTTCAAAAGGGTTTTTGTCAATGACTCATGGACCTGTGCATTCTCAATTTAAAAACTATATTATTCAACAGGTATATATCCTGACATATGTTATAGTTGTGGTAGTGCTGAAAACTTAAAGAAAGTGAAAGGCGAGCTGCCTCTTTGTGTTAAATGTGATGGTACCATTCTTCCAAAAAAGCGTTTTAAATGGAAGCAAGGTAGTAAAGAAAAGGGAAATAGCACTGTAAGTAAGAAAAAAAATTGAAACAGCTGAACTAGTTAGGTAAGGTACAACCGTTCAGATAAAAATTTATAAAACAATCAAA